AAACACTTTTTCATTGGGTCTTAATTTATGATTTATCTTAAGACCAGATATTCCAAAATAACAGCTGGTATATCTTTTGCTCTGCATAAACTTGTTTACTCTTGCAACTCTGTATTCAGTAGGAATTTCCTGAAATCAGAGGTAGTTCTTAAGATGTCTTTTGTTGATTCCTTGAGGAGCTTTATGTTCTTGTACCACTGGAAAACATGTTAAGGAGTTGGGGCATAACTCCAGTTTTTCCAGATAGTAGTAGTCAAGCATTATCTAGCAATTCCAACTCTTTTCAAGCAGAATCTTTATTTGTCTGTGAAGTACTGCTTGAAAGGCTGTTGCCTTATCTAATTAAATATTCCAATCATTAATTTCACTTATTTTTGAATTTGTAACTGTTTTAATTGCCTGCTGTTTTTGGTAATAATACGTAATTGTTTAGGGCCCATCCATTTGCTGGAATTGAATTAATGTTTAAGCCTTCCTGCCAAAGTATAGTAATAAAAAAATAATTCCACACACACCCTTCTTCTTATTAATACCTTTCACCTCATGTTGACATACAAAACTAATTTTCTTAACCTTTCTGCAATATTCCATAGGAGTATCCAAGGCTTCTTCCATGAAAAAACCACATCTCCTCTGATATAAAATTATGAGTTTTACTATTTTCTGTATATTTTTATTTTCTTCTAGTTATTATTAATAGTTATTTTTTTTCCCTTGAAAAGCAAGCCTGTGTCCAATATGCCAGAATCCGTGTGGAATGTACGTGCAGAAATGGCGTGGGTTGCATTCTGGTGTGTGTCACTGCCACCAGCCTGCAGTAATTCTGTGGGGTGATGTTGATCACACAACTTAGTGTGCTCTGAATCACCAAGTCTGCTCTTCTGTCTGACCTACAGCTGCTGCAAAGGCATTTCAAACCTACGTGTTCCATTTTTTCCCAAACATGAATATACTGTGACCTAATATGAATTTCAAAATCAAGCCTCTCTTTTTTACATGTGGTCAGGAGTCTCTTAACATTTTAAAGCTAAGTCTTTGCTGCAGAAACAGAGTTGATTTCAGTGCCAATATTGAACTGCAACTGCGATTTGGATGGAACAGCTCTGCAGCTGCTCGGCTGCTGGTGCATCACATGGTTTGAGCAGTGATAACAGGGATGAGGAGAAAGGGCATTTGCAGCTCTTACTATGACTTGCCTTCCTTAGTACACCCACCCTGAACAAAAGGTTGCAGCAGTTACCAGTATCAGCTGTTGCAAAGGAAAGCACAAGAAATTTACTGAAAAACATTAACTGTTCATCAGTTTGACAGTGTAAAGAATGATCTTCCCCTTCTACTTTGTAGGTTTGGAGAGTGGAGTAGGTTTGCAATTGTAAAATGAACGTATTAAACCTTTATTATATTTTCTGAGAAGAAGGGGTATTAGATAAAATCTGTCAATTACCATGGGAGGTTGTGAGAGCTTTAAAAGACCTTGTTTCCACTTCAACTAGTTCAGGAAAAGAAATTACCTTCTTTCTAATAGCATTCATAACGATTATAATCTGTATAATCTTGTCATGCCATGATCAGAGGCAGTTTGGTTAACTGTCTTATAAAAGCATCATCCTCAGCAACTTAGTCCATTGTTCAGCATTAGTTACCAACTCAAAATAAGGTGCCAATCTCCAGTGTGCTTTATCACTGGGGCAGCTGCCAAAATAGATGAGATTTCAGTAATAACAATTTCTACAAAGTAAAACATCAGTGGGAACATTAGTTAAGTGTGACACCATCTGAATACATTCTGAGCTTCAGAACAATCAAGTGATATTCTTTATTATACACATAGAGAGCAATTTGGATACAAAAATATCTCTTGTGGTAAAGTTCTGTTGTATTTCCTAAAAATTCATTTCAACTGCAGAAAGCTGAAATTGTGAAAAGCATAAACATGATGTTGTATCTGCAGTTTGAATATTGATAGTTCCTTTCTAGTTCCCATGTTACTTGGACAGATGTACATCATCTCTGTATGCCTGCTTCACTGCATGTCAGTTATGAGGGACACTTGTGTTAGGGCATCCTTTAGAGATACAGATTCTGGAAATGCCAGGAAATGATTGAAGTGCTACTTGCTGGCATTGTGCCTATCTGAAAAAAACCCTGATGGACATAGGGGATAACAGTTTTCTCACATAGGTTTAAATTGCTATTGAGTATATTTTTTCTGTCCTTTTGGTAAGGAAATAGGATTTATCAGCAACATTCCCAAGCCTCAATTCTGCTTTGCTGCTCATCACTCTACCATTGGGACCTTTGATTTTCATCATGAAGAAGGAACAGAGCCATTGAATGTGAAGCTGATTTGCAGCTGATGACAAGTGTTATATGGACGAGCCAAAATTTCAGGGGACCAGAGATCCAGAAGGTGACATAGGATTTTTGGGTGGTAGCAGAGGATATTTGAATGAAGTGCTGTTTCTATGGGATGGGGGAAGACTCAGTAGAAAGCTGGGACAGGAATGTCCACAGTCCAGTAGGACAGCTGCTTCTGCCACTGGAGCAGCAGTAGAACTTCCTAAGAAGTCGTGGGAATGCCTTCGCCACAAAATCGTGCTGTTAACTGGTGCCTGAATTTCGAGAATTGGGCAATTTCTTGCCAGAGGTGTAACTGCATCCTAGCAAACCAAGCACAGCACTGCACACACCTCCATTTAACCTCTGCTGCAGGGAGCGGCTCTGGAGCAATTAACAGCCTAGGAAAGAATCCTGCTACTCTGCCATCTAAGCAGGTTCCCTACTGCAGCCTTGGATAGGATGTTCATGATCCAATGGCCTGGGTTTTTTAATGAAAAATGGTCAATTGTTTTTTGATTGCAATGCAGAGAAAACCTTGCAAGATTAGACGGGGAAGCAAGAGTGCTGTGTTGCTTTTGTTATTCCCTAAATTGTAGCTCATTATTATTATACTCTATTTTACTCAATCATTATGCTCTGAAATGGACAATAAAGATGAAGAATTACTGTTTGTTATGCTGTACGGTCTCCAGAGTGCAGTTCTATTTGTTTTTGTAAAGAAAGTTTTAGTTTGCTGGTATGATAGATTCTTACTAGTTTTGTTATATCTCTGAATTATAAACTAAGCTTGCTTAAGATATACTGTCTTCTGCAAGGTCTTATTTCTTTTTCTTCTTTTTCCTTCACAAGATTAATATTATAAGCAAAACTTAATTATGCACTTCTATGTTAAGCTAGGACATCAACAGCAAACTCTCCTGGTTTTGGCTGGGATAAAGTTGATTTTCTTCCTGGTGGTTGGTGCAGTGCTGTGTTTTGGATTTAGTATGAAAATAATGTTGATAACACAGAGACATCTTGGTTGGTGCTGGGCAGTGCTTACCTGAAGTTCAGGACTTGTCAGATTCTCATGCTCTGCCAGTGAGCAGGTGCACAAAAAGCTGAGAGCCAGGACAGCTGACCTGAACTGGCCAGAGGGATTTTCCATACCATGGAACATCCTACTCGTTGTAGATATTGGGGGAAGTGACGGAGCAGCTGTGTGTTACTTAGTTTCCAGCTGTGGTTAAACCACAATACATAGTAAGCAATTACTCTTATAACCTTCATTGACATCAGAAAGGCTGTTTATGTATAGGTAGAACTTTGTGATAGCGTCAGGGTAGTCTGCCAAGGCATCAAATGATTTTTCAGGAGGTTTTACATATTTGGTTTTGTTATTATTCTTTAGAATATCTTAAAGTAGATTTAGACTAGATATAAGGAAGAAAGTTTTTATGATGAGAGTGGTGAAACACTAACACAGGTGGTAGATGCTCCATCTGTGGAAACATTCAAGGCCAGGTTGGACAGGGCTCTGACATCCTGGTGTAGCTGAAGGTGTTCGTGCCCATTGCAGGGTGTTGGACTGGGTGACCTTTAAAGGTGCCTTTTAACCCAGACTATTCTTTGCTTCTATGCTGGTGAGCCTTACACCTTTGGATGTATGATGATTTTCTTCTATCTCATGGGATGGGGTGGAATGATGTTTGTTCCCTCTACTTTCACCCTGCTCCACTCACACCTACTGTGACAGTTTCAGAAGGAAAGAGTCTCCAATGCAATCAACGCCTGAGGGCACCAACACTTTTTGCATAATTTTTTATTTCAGAGAGATGAGAACTTTATTATGATGGAATTGTTTTCTTGGCTTCTGTACTGTGTTTTACCAACTGCAGCAGAACTGTGTGTATGAAATTCATGTTTGATTTGACCTAATAGTTCATCTATCAGTGCACTGTGGGATTAGTGTGAATTACAGGCCAATAGCTTAGTTAGAATGGAGACAAAACATTGTATTTGATCAGTTGCAGACAACTGTTGTGTTGAGGATCAAGAACCCTCTCTTGTAGGAAAGCTGGTATTCAAAAGCTGTGAATTTCTTGAGGTCGATTTGAAGTGGTACCTATGTAAGAAAACACTCAGCTTTGGTTTGAAATTTAAATGTCAGCTTTTAAAATAACTTTTTAGAAGAAAGTTTCTAATTTCAGAAACTTCTATATTGTTCATGAAATCTTTATATTTGGTCAAATTCTGCTATTCCTTATAACAGTGAAATTCTGGGTAATTAATCTTGGCTATGACTTATTCGGTAGCAAAATTTGTTGTATTAGAGATATCCCATGTCACAGAAGGTTAGAAGGAGTAAATGGGCAAAAGCCTGTGCTTGAACAACTAAAGCAACAGGTAAAGGGTTATTAGTGAAATACAAGTGATATTCTTACCTAATGAGTCAATATGATCTTAATATAGCAAAGTGTTGGTATGAGCTACAGAGTGACAGGATCTACGGAGGGGCTTTTACCACGCAGTGTCACTGCTCGCACCACCACTTTGGGGGATGAAGTCAAGGAGAATCCTGATAGCTGGAAAAGGCCATGTGCAATGTGAAAGTCACGCCTGACCACGGGCTGCGACCGAGAGCAGCTTCCCGGTCCTGGCCGGCTTTGCGGGATCGATGCCAAGCCCTGGTGTGGGAGGGGACGGTGGCGGCCGGGCTTGGTGGCCCCGTGCCCCCTTCCCCTGTCCTGGGCCCCCTCCCGCAGCATCCCTGGGGATAAATGCGCGCCGGCGGCGGTCCGCCCGTGCCCGTGCGATGGAGGCGGGCGGGCGGGCGCTGCTGGCGGCCGTGGGGCTGCTGTCGGCGCTGAGCGCGGCGGGCACGCTGTTCCTGCTGGCGCAGTGGCGGGAGCTCGGCGCGGCGCTGCGGGAGCTGGAGGCAGTGCGGGGGAACGGCTCCGTGCGGGGGCTGCCGGGCGAGCCCGGTCCCGCCGCCCCCGCCGCCCGCACCAAGCGGAGCCGCCGCGGGGAGCGCGGCCGCGGCACCGTGCGCGCCGAGAGCGACGAGATGCTGATGATGCTGACCTACTCCATGGTGCCGGTACGGCCCCGCCGGGATTGGGGTGCCGCCGGGGGATGGGGGATTTGGGACAGTCGCTTGTCCCAGCTGTAGCCTGAGGATCCCGCCAGCCCCGCGGTTTGCCCTGCCGGGGCCGTCCCGCTCCTGCCGCGGCGGGGTTTACCTGGAGCGAACACACCCACCTGGTACTTGGAATCTCGCGCCAGGGGTTCCTACTGCTGTCTGTAAATGCTGAGACGACAGAGCTGATGGGCCACAGAGCTGAGGTTGCCGTTAAACTTTACAAGTCGAAGTTACACAGACAAATGGAGGGAACTTTTGGATTTCGTGTAACTTCAAAAATTTAGTTGCAATAAGTCAGTTTCTAAGTTACCAGTTTCCAAGGTTTCAGGTTTTTAAAACTACCACCACAAGCAGAACTCCCTTGTGTTTTCTGCTGTTCAGCATCTCACTGCAAGGTACTGGACATCACTTTATCAGTGAAATTTCATTTGATTTGATTTTGATTTCTTTGAGATTGATAGTGCTCTTTCAGTAGGGGTTAAATTTAGGGTGGTATTTGATGGGTCAGGAGAACTGTATGTCCTTTCTCTCTGGCAAAACTGGCATAGTTTTTTGCATGTCAGTGAAAAGATTATCTTTTCTCAGTAGGAAACAGGTCACATAGCTGAAAAATTTTAAATAGATTGAAAAGCTTTTACGTTCTGAGTCAGAAGAAATGCAAGAAAAATATTACTATTGAGAGAACCTTAATGGAAGTTCTGTCCCAGAAAGGGCTGCAGGCATAGGCCCACAAAAAAAAGCAGGAGAGGTTAACTCAGGCTCTTACTCATGTCATTAATATTACTGGTTTTAAAAGTTATGTGCAGAAAATACCTCTTCAGTAATGTTTTGTTGGCGTGTTTTGTTAATAAATTATTGTAATCATCAGTTCACAGTGATAACTACTCCTTTAATATTAGAGCTTAAGAGACTGTAGAGCAGAAAGTGTTGATAGTGACTTTTTTTGATTTTTAGTGGCACTTGGATGCCTGGATAATTTGACAGTGGCCATTAAATGTGCTATTCCACTGTCATTAGGTACCACACACAGATTACATGAATTTTATTACCCTCTTCAAATAGAACCAAGCACGTGGTGTGTATTTTAACAGCATGTGACCAGAATATGCACTTGTGCCTTTAAACATCCACTGTGACTACTGCTGTGTGCATGTGCTTCATTTAAATGTATCCTGCAGGGAGTTGCTGGGGGGGGTGGTCATGCCTTTTTGTTCTTACAAAGCTCCCATCAAACATTTTTCTGGCTGCTGCTCAGAGGAGTGTGTGACTGTGTGCAGACTCACTTGCTCAAGGGGAAAAAAGGTGCCCTTAGAAAAATTTTCAAGCACCCCCTCCTCCCACTCCTGCATTTCTGTGTTTTGAATATAACTCCCACTAAGTTAATTTCAAGGCTTGACTACTTTTGTACTGTGAGACAAAGTTCCTCAGAGCTGGTGAGATGACCCCTGTTACACTGGTGGGTCTTGGAACAACGTTCCAGCCTCTGCTGAATGTGGGGCCCAAATGGAGGTTTTGCCTGAGCGGGTTCTCTCTTGTGGTGGGAGCACCAATTTCTGCAGGTGTCAGTGTCCCACTGCTCATGGAGATCTGGTGTGGCCACTGCTCAAGGATCTTTAAAATAACCTTAGGCATCAAGTCCCGTATTTTAGCTTTGATAACATGAGTATATTTTTGGTTCTGGGCCTATTGTTTCTGTATTTGTGTTTACATATACTTATTTTGTAAAAAAATAGGAAATTGGCAAATCTGTTGGTGCAGAAAGACTGACACAAAGGTAACAGTCCAGTAAGTTTCAAAGTGTGATTTAAGACAGTGCAAGAAGTGGTGGCTTATGGGGGCTACCAATTATCTGAGTAGTTGTTTCATAGTTTAACCTTTTTTCTTTTTATTTTTTTTTCACAATTTCTTTGTGAGAAAACTTAATTTCTAGCATTTGAATAAGATACTTTCATCTGTAGCTTTTCTTAGTGATGATGCTGGCTGATTGAACAGTCTGCTCATCTCTCATTGCTAAGCTGGAGGTTCTGCTATAGTCTATTTGCACTTCCTGAGTGCCATGTCCTTTTAATTGTCCCCTGAGTTGCACTGAATGGTAAAAGTAGTGCTGCTGAGGTAATTGAAGGGCCCCAAAGCAAGTTGTGATCACTTCATCAACCTCAGCAGAACTATTTTAATTAAAATGCAGTCAGAATTAGAGTACACATGGACAACGTATATTTTACAAATTAGAAGGTAGGAGACAAGTATTTTTGAGGAGTGTGAGGGGAAAGAGAACAAACCTGATATTCAAAACCAGTTAGCACTTTTCAGCTAATTTAAATTGAGTCTAAATTTCTAAATGTAAGAGCTTTTCCAGTCCAGTCTGGAATCCAGTACCTTCACAGTATGTATCAGTCAGAACAGGAACCCATTGTCAAGTATGGTTTGGTTTTTCAGGAAAAGAATCCTTGCCATCAAAATAATTGTCCTTTCTTTGAGTCTGTTAGATTTGTCAGTTGAAACTAATGATGCATTAATTTTAAAAATTATGATTGACAGTGGCAAATAACCTTTCTAGGATCAAACTTCAACCTGCCTTTCAGATTGCCTTGCACTCATTTGTTCTGTCCTTTGGGACTAGTGCATTCCATTATTTGTAAATAGAGTAATTGTACAAAGATGAATAAATGTGAAACTCTTGGTAAATGGTTCATAAATTATCATATATTGCACAGCCCTGAAGTAATGACCTTTTTATTTCCTGGCTATAAACATTAGACTTTCCCACAAAAGAGCTGAGGCACTGTCAGTGCTCATGTTCACAATATCCTTATTCCTGCTGGTTGTTTTGATGAGTTGCAAAATATTTTAGTGTTGACTCTCAGGATGCAGGACAGGTAAAGTGAATATTTGCCCGGCCAAGAGTCGTGTATTTTGTAATGATGACTTTTTAACTGATACATTTTATTCTACTCTAGATTAAGAGCATCTTTATGAATGTGTCTTCCACATTTCAAATTTGCAGATCTTGGTTATTCAAAGATAGGAAATCACTTATTTGGAACACAGGACACCTTTCTGTCTTAATGTGCCATGTTGAAAAAGTTTCCATCATTTGATGCAAATATAAAATAAAATTAATGTAATTTTTATTGGCTGATGTTGGCTTTTAATACACGTTTTAATACATGTTTTACAGTAATGTGTGAAATTTGATGACTAGATGATGTATAGAGTTGTCTGGCCAATATTTTATTCATATTTTCAGTAAGGATTAATATGAGGTATATTGAACAGATGCCTATGAGAGAAACAGTCTGATGAGGTGGATGGTGTCACAGTGTTAAGGTAATTCTGAAAAGTTTATTCTTATTAACAAAGTGGCCAGTTGTATCTTTGTTTTTGAAATTATTTCTGTAGGTAAAGCGAACCAGACACTTTTATGAAATACACTGTTTTCAACTTTACTTTCTTTGCAATATTAGGTCCGAGTGATGGTGGATTTATGTAACAGCACAAAAGGGATATGCTTAACAGGTATGTTTATTGCCTTAAGCACTGCACCTCTGTGACCTTCAGGAACACAGAAATACAGTGTTTTCAGAGAACCTGAGGTCAATAACTGTGTCAAAGAACTATGCTATTTACTCTATCAGAATTTAAAAAAAAAGATACTAGGTGCCACTTTGGGACTTATCTGTACCCATTTAATACAAATGCTGGAACTTAAGGAGCTCTGCTGATGTTACTTGGAACTATTTCTTTTCCATGTAATTTTCATAAACAAATCTCTCAGACTTGGATGTTTAAAATACTAATTGAGGTTTAATCATGGTATTTTTGTGTATACCACACTTGAAACCTAACATGGGATGAACATAGATGGTATAGAAACCCACTCCTGTTGTTGCAACTGCAGTGGAGCAGTGGGACTCGGATGAGCACCTTGTCTCAGCTGCATTGGACCCACGGCTACAGGATGTTTCACATCTTACCAGGGAGGAGTGGAGCAGCTCATGGTTGGGACAAGAAAAGGTGTGAGAAGTTTTGATGTGATTTGGTGAAGAGTTCAGGGAGCAGCCAATTTAAGAGCAACTGTCCAGCTTTGAAGTCTATCACAGAATCAGTCATGTTATTTTTGAAAAGTAGAAGATTAGGAAGAAGTCAATTTTTTATGAGTTAAAGAAAATGCTTCATTTGCTGTCTGGTTTGAGTTATCAAATGGCTATAAGGTCCATTTGACTCCACTGATTCAACACAAATGAGAACTACATAGTACACACAGATGTCAAATACTGCTTCTGAAGTTGTAGGTCAGTTCTGATTATAACAGACTGAAACACAAACAGTCTAAAAGTTTGCTTCTTTGGGCTTAGGACTTGTAAATTCACATTACTGAGTGCCTTCTGTACCTTCTTGTCTCTGAACACCATTAAATGCTTGGCTTTCTCTGCTATAGGCCCTAGTGTCATTTGCTGCTCTTCAAGCACCTTTCTTATCTATCTTTTGCTTATACAAAGAGCCTCAGTTTTGGGGATGAGGAAGTAAGTGAATGCACTAATAGGATGTAACACTGTAGTGTGGAAAAAATGGCCATTTGCTAGAGAAATGGCAACGATGTTAACTGATGTTACTGCCTGTACTGATTAAAAGGGATAATTGTTATAATGGTATTGTTAAGATGGTTTTCACTTTACTTTGTAATTAATGCTGAAAATGGTCATCTTTAGGGAAATCTAATAATTACTGTTATTTTCTGTTGTAGAGAGTTTTGCTGAAGCAAGAGTACTTTGGCTGGATAACAATGTTCACAGAACTGATTTGGTTCTTTAATTGCAACTTCCACCTTTCTTTGTATTCTCCTAAAGCTTTTTTTTTTTTTTTTAATGTGTACTGGGTATCATAGAAGATAAATCTTGTTACAGAAACATCAGAAACATTTTCTCTTTTAGTCTTGTTTACTTTTGCCTGCTATGCTTGCTTCTCATTAGGGCCCTTTATCTGAGCTATGTCAGAGACATTAAGACATTAAGGTTTCAGTGTTGCTGAATACCTGAAGCGAGTTCAAGTTCTAATGCACCAAGCAGTTTCTGTGGGAAGCTCAATCCAGGCTGGAGAACAATCACATGTGAAAAGCCTGATTGGGATTTAGATGTAGTTAATAGGAATGATACAATCTCCCCTCCCCAAACATTCCCTTCCCCCCTGCCTTTTTTTAAAATTTAAATAGTCTGAGTCCTGACTGGCAATGAAATATCTGTAAAACACAGAGCAGTGTGGCATGTGGTGTATTTTTAACAAGGTTTTTAATCGTCCCATTCAGCAGTATTGCAAAGCTACTAATCTTCTGCTGTAACAGGTTGTTGGAGAACACTTAAGTGAAGGAAATGTAAAGACTGCTAAGTGCCTTGCATCCATGGCTTTGTGCAGGCACTGAAGCCCCTGACAGTGAGATTTCACTGTAGAGGTTTTTTGTCAAACCTTTATCAACTGAAATCTGAAAAAAGCAAAATGTGTGTATGTAATTGTGTTGAAGGATTCTCTTTCACTAAGTCTGAGCTACCGCTAATGCTCAGATAGTTATTTATAATACAAAGCAGTTAAATAGCTAGATGTTAATTTTGAAATTTGAGGAGTTTTCCTCCCCTTCTACTGTTCTGATCTAATGCTAATCAGTTCAATTTGGAATTGCTTTGTTTTCTTGGTGGGTTAAATTCACCATTTCTTCCTGTGTTTTTTTTTTTCTTACTGCAGGCCCTCCGGGTCCCCCAGGTAAGATACTTGGATAATTTCAGTAACATTTTGAGGTAATTAAAACAGTTGCTGCTACAAAATGTTGAAATGTAGAAATGCATCTTTCACAAAATACTTTTCTATGTAGCATGAGGGAAGGTTGAATGCCTGCCTTTATAGTTTTTGTATATAGGTCAGCTGTGCTCCTTCTGAGGCAGGGGAGGTTTTAGAAATTATAATTTTCTAGTGAAGGGAGTAGAATATTCAATCAAAACCAAATGGAATTAAGGGTGCTTAAGTAGCATTTAGCTGAAGAGAGGAGGTTATATATTAAAAAACTCAGAATAAACAGATATTGTAATTTAACATCTCTTTAAAAATATTGATTACTGACTACACACTTCCCCCATAGCTTTTCCTCCTTTCTTATTTAATTCCCTCTCCCTGTTCTCACTGAAGTGTTGCTGTATGAATGTGTACTTGCTTTCTTTGTGTGCTGCTTTACCTGTGAGTCTGCTTAGAGTAGTTCTCTGTGTCAGAAAAGTATGAGTTATGTTTTTCCAGGTTTCAAGTATATATATAAAAACATACTGCATGTAAATATAGTAGATTTAAGGATAAATTGCATTTAGCAGTGAAAATTCAGTTGTGCTCTTTGGTTTCATCAGGGCCTCCTGGACTTGATGGACTGCCTGGCTACAATGGATCAGATGGAGTCCCAGGCATACCAGGACAAAAGGGAGAACCAGGACTAAATGGAAAAAGAGGAAAAATAGGTATTTTTTAAATGGTTATTTTAAAAAAACAGATGTTATTTTGTTAAAAAAGATGTTAAAAAAACAGGTTATTTTAAAAATTCAGATGTTCCTTCTTGTAGACCTTTGTACAGGGAGAAGGGTTTCAAAGTTTACAAAGAAGGTGCATGTTACAGAATTCTGTAACATTCATTGTCTCATACTAAGCTTTGGCAGATTATTCAGACTTACTCTACAGTGAGGAAGATGGTATATATACACCATAGAATATTGCACACTAAAATTACTGAACTCACTTAATTGAATATCCGTATTCTGAACTCACTAGTAATTGCTGTTATTGTAAGAATATATCTACTCCCTCAACCTACCAACATCACAGCCCTTGACTTCAGACTTTTTAAAAAGAAAGCCAGAGTTTGGGTTACAGCATTTCTTTGAAATCCAAACAAATTACAGCTACCCAGCTAAATACAGGTGAAAAAAAAATAACTAGAGCAAATATGGTTTGCAGTAAAAATGTGTATTAATTGGTGCTTAATGCTGGAGTAGAGTTCTTGGTACTAAAATGCTTTTTAATTCTAGGTCTGCCAGGACCAAAAGGTGATCAAGGACAGAAAGGAGAACCTGGAGAAATGGGTTTACCTGGCAAGGATGGTATGCCAGGAGTAAAAGGTGCAAGAGGAGCCAAGGGGGAAAAGGGGGATGCAAGCAATGATGTGATATTAGAAGGTATGAAGAAGTGCTCTTGCGAGTTCTCTTGCAACAGTGTGCTTGACAGAAAAAGATACCTTCCACTTCTGAAGCATGAATGTGATGTGCAAGAGCAGGGCCAACCAGTATAAATATGGTAGACACACATAGTGAAGCTTGAGTACTGCTGTGCCCAGGAGATTGTTCTCTTTGTAATGCAAGTCCTCACACAAACTTTTCTGCTTGGGCTTTAGGTTGAGGTGTTTGTGAACTCCACCCTTTCCAATACACTTCCAGACAGCTGACCTTCTCCTACTTTCTTTCAGTGTGGTTTTATTTCTCTATTAGAAAATGAGGGTCAGATATCCACTCAGGAATACATGAAGCAGCCAAATATAAACTGTGTAAAATTATAGCAATGTAGCATCTGAAGTTGAGGTCTTAGAATACAGTGAGTAAAAGGCAGCAGTGCTTTACAGCTCTCTAATGTGCCTGTAATCCAGACAGATAAAATGCACTGATGACCTACACCTTGTGAAATTCTTCATGGTTCAGCTTCCAACAACCAGCATTCCAGTGTGTATTGCACTGTATTTCTGTACTCAGAAACCTCTTAAGAAAGAGAGAGGCTGTTTTAGAGATGTCTCCAAGTCTGCCACATGGTTCTCTGCAGGTTGCCTGTTGTCTGTGCAAGGCCTGTGACAGGACTCTGTTTTGTACACAGGTGCAAAAGGTGAACCTGGACCACCAGGGCCCCCTGGACCACCTGGACCCCCGGGGCCTCCAGGTAAACGTAAAGGTAAAGCTAAAGCAGAGCTTCAGGAGAACACATGCAGCAGCACATGCACAGGTTAGTTCTCCCCAGTGTTCTTTTTTGTATTATGAACTAGTTCAAGACTAAAACATTGCTTCAAGTGTCACAAAACAGTAAGCACAGGTTTAATTTTGCTTGGCATCAGTAAAACTGCAAACTTAAAGCTGAATATACGTTTAGGTGTTTTACTGAAATATGGCTTGAATAAGGCAGCAAGTTACCACCTGTACAATATTAGTCTTTTCATTGTGCTACGCTAATGGTCAGGCAAAGTGTTTAAAAATGGTGTTTTTCTGTTAGATGGGATACGTAAGGAAAGTATGAGAAATGCAGTCAAAATTTTTGGCTTTTAAGTGCTGACTCTTTAATTTTACATGTAAATACATCACCTTGATTCTGGATATTGAAGTATCTGAACAGAGCCCAGAGGGACTCCCTACAACAGAAAGTAGAGAGCTGGAGCAGAAATCTCATCCTATTTGAAGTTCAGAAAGGCATGAAGTACTATAGGAGATAATTGGGCCATTTGCTCACGTGGCCTCTTTTCAAGTGTTGAAGCAGCCTGAAGTGCTTTGCAGGATAAGCCTTCTGATGGATTTCTGATGGATTTGAAATCACAGTGTGCAAATGGGAGTTACAGTCAAATAACTCTGCAAAGATGAGATCTTCCTCAATGAGCTTTTATGTTTTATGACTTAGTAAGCCATGAGATCTTATTACCAAAATTCAAAGAATAACCCAGCTTTTATAATTAAATATTCATATCCTTTTCAAGGAAAGAGAATACACATACTGATTTACAACTGTAATTAACTTATTACATAAGAATACAAGACTGGTTTCTTCAAATTAAATTTTGAATTGGGTAAAACTTTTTTTTCTTCAAAAAAGAGAATAATTAGTTGAAAGCTCGGGTGTATTTTTTCTCAATGGTACTGTTAGTGAATTCTAAAAGAAACAAAACATCTCTGCTCCAAACTGCCTTGCTCCATCCCTCCTCCAACAGACCAAATCAATAGTTTTAATGTCTTGTAAACTCCACTAACTCTCAACCAGAATGTTTTATGATAGGAATCAGTAGGATATTTATCTTGTTTTTTTGATGGAAAGAAAGTAATGAAAATTTCCCATAGGAGTCTCTGATTGAAAACTGTCTTTTTAATTTGAGTTGCTGTCTGATTGATGCAGCTGAAAGGCCCTCAGAGTACTGCAGCTATTCTCAAACACAAACAGTACACTCAGCTTTGCTGCACTGACCTGCTCCCTGACTGCTCTGCAGCCTTGGATAAACTACTGTACAGGGAACCGCTCATCCAGTCAACTGCATCTATCAGACTCAGCCCAAGAAAATTAACTTGTGCACTGTAATTTATGATTTCTGCTGAGTGGGTTCCTTTTTTGAGATATTCTGACAATATTTTGTGATCAGAAGCTGGAAAGGATCCAGAGGGATTGGTAGATTCCAGCTATAGGGCACTGAGCTTACCATGGTTGGGTTGACTGTTTAGGCCTTTTTTGGAGATACACTGTGATCGCTTGCAAACTTTCAATGTCATTTCAGCAAATGCCTTAGATAAAAGGACGGGAGAAATACATCTTGTTCTTGCTTTGTGTTGGAGTAGTTTTCTTCCGCATGAGCAAAGAGAGGACACAACCTAAAGGAAAAAACAACAATTCAGTATAATCTGTCCTTTCTTTCCTCAATGTCATGGTGCCCTTTCAGCATTACTTTATTTCATATTTTTACTATCTTTCTCACTTAAATTTCAGCACAGATCTGTAAATCCCAGAAATACGTGGCAAAGAAACAAGAAGAATATGTGTTTAAAAGAATTTGCAGCCTGTATATCAAGCAGTGTGCAATATGTAAGGAGATGAAAGTTAAGAATGGAATTAGAAAACAAGGCTACAATGAAATAAGGATATTTTCAGCAAAAAGCTGAGAACTGTTCTCTGTGGTTATTCCTGCTAAGCAAACTGAAATGTGTCACGTTGTTTTAAGGGCAGAAGACGTACCTGGTTTTACAGAAAAAGGTCCATAAATAATTTAATTCAGGCCTTGTTTTAATGGTAAACTCAAAGGGAAAATCCAACCAATGCTCCTCATGCTGTTGAGGGGTGGGCAAAAATGTTTTCAGGTCTTTGTTTCTAATGTGAAACATTTCTATGCCTGTAAGTATCATAATGCATCATTTCCCTCAGTCTTTCACACTGCTGCTTCTGTGGCATGGGTGGCTGAGCTGCAATCTTATGCATCATTGTGCTCAGTGTATGTGTTAGTGCTTTATTGCTGTCTTGGGCTGGAGTGTGGCGATCTGGGAATGATGCTTTTGAGTTTAACAATCACTCATTCCAAGAAAATGTTTTTGGTATTACTGCGAAATCAGCCGTTTTCCAGCTACCTCAGTTGTGTAAAGTTATCTAAGGAAAAAAGGGCAACTGTCTTTCTAACCAGCTTCTCAGGAATTCATAGCTAAGGAATTAAATCTGTTGATTTAATTAGTTACTCCTCGAAGTTCACTGTCAGCCTGACAACCTCAAGGAAACAAACCAACCCAAACATTTCATTTCCTTGAGAGGAGTGAGAGCAAATCCTTCCTAGTCTCATTTTTTGACCAGACCAACCTAAGCAGACTTTTTTCTCAGGTGAAACAAAATCCCAGTTGTCATCCCTTTATTTTAGTGGAGTCACTGATGTGCACATCTGTCATGTGCATGTCAAACAGAGAAATGTCTATTGTCTGTCATGTCAAATAGAGAAAAATGACATATTTTACCATTTCTCCCTCAACTCCAGGTGAGTGTGCTGAACCAAATGATGACACCCTGGCTGGAAAAGCTGAAGACAGAACCCCTGGTCCTTCAAAAAAACCTGGTAACCTGCTGCAGAGCATGACTAAGTGCTATTTGCTGTTTTAGTGTCACAGATCATGGACATGTGCTTTTTTTTTCTACTAGAATGCATCATAACATCTGTGGGAAGTCCTGTTCACTTTGTCAGTGTTCAGCAAACGTTTGGAACTTGGATGCGGGAGCCTGCAAATATAAGTGATGAAAGGATTTGGCTTACCATGCATTTCTTAGGTATTTTTAGTAGTAGTCATAAGCAAAAATCCATTGTTATACTGACACTGCTTCCTTAATCCCTTCAAACTAAAGTAATAAGTATAATGGGGTTTTACCCACATCTTTTTCAGAGTATTTTCCATATTACCTGTATAAAACTTGACTATAAATATGGTTGTAGGCATTTGTAGTGTCAGACATCTTGAGAGCCGTCAGATTTTAAAAATAGTTTGAAGTTTTCAGTTTGTTGTTTTCTTTTTTTTAACAAATCCAAATTGAAATGCCTGTTGTTTATGGTGTTTTATTCTTTTCTTTCAAGAGTTTCTCTTTTCTATGGCTTTACTTCCCTAAATTGTAGCTAGGAGTTTTGCCCTTTCATTTAGCCAGGCATGAAAATGAATCAGTTTCTGCATTAGCTACATTAAGAGCACGAAAATGCCCAGGACATAAGTGGAAAAAGGAAATATTTCTGCATATATATCAACTGTGTTTGGAATGAGGGCCCATTAAGTCTGTGGGAAACAGGCTCTTGTTCATCTCCTATATATTTTTGTGTGTGTTTCTGGATTACTTCTTCACATTTCAGCAAGATGAATCATTATTGAAAACACACATACAATTGTTATCTGTCAGATAGTTGATTGAGATTGACTTTTACTGAAGACTGAATTTTAGAATAGAGATTTCAAAATTAGATGAACCAGATGATAGTCCTTTTTTTTTTTCTCATGTTTTCCCTTTTGTTTAGGAAACTCTATAAAAGAATATGAGAATTCCAATGCCTTGCTGAATGACAGCTACAGGATCATTAACATCACGGGATTCTTTTATGGATGTGGTCATGCAGTACAAAACAATCATCTGTACTATCAGAAGGGAGGAACCAATGTCATTCTGAAGTAAGTCAAACATAGTTGTCTTAAAGCAAGTGATGGTGTGGAAGGAGGAGCAGTGGGTTAAAGTGACAGAGGTGAACCTCAGAAAAGCAGACAACTTTCCTTGTACTGTTTTGTGTTTCTTTTTGATCCTAACTAGGAAGAATGGTGGAATGGCTCAGAACTCTTTCCAGAACAGAAAAACTCATTCTTTACAATCTATAACTACAGTGTGGGCCACCAGCCTTCCATTTGTGTGTGCAGATGCCGCAGAAGGAGGGAAATTGGGAGGGTAGCCCAGGTCCACTACTCTGCTGTGACAGTTCTTTAGGTATCAGAGCTGAACTGTGTCTAAGGGGTTCACCTCTGCAGTTACTATGTGGTAGGGGAACTGGGCCTCAAGATGACAACAGATTTTTCTTTTGGCTATCCTGGGGTCCAACAGGTTTCTATTATACATTACATTGCTGTGGGTGTTCTTCAACTTGGATTCTTTCCTGCGTTCATAATTGCAAGAAAGAAATGAGAACTGACTAAGGAGTTTGGATATCAGAAAAAGGCATTTGATTTAGAAAAATAACTTGTGCATCTACCTGCACCTGAGTAAGAACTGGTTCAGCTGCAGTCTGGGAGGCACAGGGGGTGGCTCTGCAGAGCTGCTCTCCGGGCTGCCGCGTGCTCTGCTCTCAGCTGGCCCGGGAGTGGATGCTGCTGGATGCTGGAGCAGAGGAATGCACTGAGGCACCAGCTGAGGACGTGGTGACCTGGTGAATCGCACATTCCATTGTGGAGGAGTGGCTCCAATGTTTGATTTCCTTGTAATAAGAAGTTCCTACAACTCTCCCGATGTGTGTCCCTGAACTGGAACTGGGAATTACGTCTCTGTTTCGGTTTCTCCTGAGGACAGAGACAGACAATACAAATCAAAACCAAAATCTCACCTTGTGGGAAGAGCCAAAGACAGACAGTCCAAGGGCAAGTGAAAGATTGCGTGTGCTTTCAAGTTCTTACACGACTCTGATGTTTAAGCCAAGAACATTTACTATACTTTGATGTCTTTTCCCAAGCAGGTGTGAGTGCTGCCTTCCTATATTCATGTGGATGCCAAGGAATGTGAGCAAGCTCTGTGGATTCTATAATATTTATTCTGCAAAGACAAGCTCACTTTTTGGCAACCTCCTTTAAATACCTTTAGGCTTTTTTTCTGTAAAAGATCATCACAGTCTAAGCAATACATAGTGATAGGGTAGAGATTCCTCAGCTTTGCTTGGGTACCATTAATTGAGAAATGCTTTCCTGTACAGAAGAACACAAACTATTTGTGGAATTTTTAAAACCTCTCTAAGGAGCTGCTGAGAAATGGCCTTTCTGTTCAGTTATTCACTCTGAGATTATTTGTCTTCAGCACAGATTGAATGAGGCACTATGAATTCTATGACAGTGAATTTTATGACAGTGAATTCCTTGAATTTGGGGTGCGTAAAAGCTTCTTTTGTATTGATTTAATGGAAGGAATGGGTGAGGATCGGGTTGGCTCATCTTGCAAATGTTGAAAAAATATTTAAAAGGAGTTTCTTGTCATATTTAAAAGCTGGCAAAACTAGGTTTGTCTGACCTTTGGCAGATTTTCTCATGATGGTCAGATCCGTGACATTGTTTCTTAACATGCTTTCTCACCTCTGGTATTTTTGGTTGACTTCACTGCTATTAGTGATCAGAAAAGTGTTTGCAGCTTGAGTTCTCTGCAGTTGATGAAAGTATTACACTGTATGTTGTCATTGACCCCAAGGTGTCAGATGATTAAAGAATTTTGCAGACTGTCCTTGACTGGGGAGCCCAAGAGAACCCCGGGAATGAAACTTCACTTTTCTGCTCCTTTCAGGGTTTTCACATATAACAGGAAAAGACAGTTGTGTGTTGCAGATCTTGCACTTCTCTAATGAATCTTGAGGTGGTTTTTTTCTTGTTGGCTCTTTATAGAAAAAAATCCTGAAGAAAAACTGCATTTCTGAGTGACTATTCCTGTCAAGGGCTGTCCTTCTAGTCCTTGCATGAGGTTATTTACAAACATGAAGCAACTAACAAGATTAACTGGGTTGACACACATTTCTCAAATCTTCTTCAGCCTTGAAGAGTTCTTTTATTGCACATAAATGCTGCTGGAATATGGAGTTGCTGCAGATGTGAGTTTTCTAAAAGCTGAGGGAAAGTATCTAAGTTGGTCATTCTTTATTTTTCTTATGATGATTTTTCCAGTGTATGCTATCAATGCCCTTTAGACTGAAAAACTATTCTTCCTTCTGTTATAAGTTCCTGGATCTGAAATGTTCCTGCGATTAAGCCTGTCTTTTCAGAAAACTTGTAAGGGTAGCAGATTCCTGTATTGAGTAACGTTTTTTCTTCCTCTATTGGAAGAATGGAGCTATACAGTTAGATAGAAGTCAGACGTGAAATGTGCCTCTTTATAGAGGGCACTATTTAAACAGACTAAACGTTCTCCCCCTGCCTTTGCTAAAGCATGGTGTTATTTGGTGGTTAAATGCTAACTACAGATGTGTCTCAATAGAAGCTGATTAGCCTCTAGTAGAGGAACACAATTTAGTTGCTCACTGCTGCTGCCCTCAGATTATCATCATCCTAAGGAATTTCAAGGAATGAAAACAACTTTATAGAGATGAAGCATTCAGGCTGTCCTGTTGAGGCCAGCATGAGGTCAGAATTTTGGCTCTGCAAAAGTAGAATTTTTATTCCTTTGATGTTTATTTGACCAAATCACTGTGTTATCTGAACTGTTTTCAGAAGAGGAACTCTAAGACCAGGTGAACCTGCCCAGAATTTAAGCTGCTTTCGTCACTCACATTTTCTCCCCTTAGTTCTAGTCAAAAGCAAACTTATGTACAGATTCCATTTCACAAGTCTGGGCCTTCACTTGGTATCCAATTCCTTTTCATATCCATTCCTTTTAGTTGCTTCTTTCATCCAAGTGATAATACAGCTCACAGACTAAATAAAGTGAAACCTACCAAAGCAAGTCCATGCTCTTATGCACCTCTCAGATTGGTTATTACTTTGGAATTTTCTCCTAGTGTTTTGGAAGGTTCTTTGAGAACTTAATCTTAAAAGACATCAGAATGGTCCTTGAACTCAAGTGCTTTCAACAACACTTCTATCAGTAGTAACGCACTTGGAATTGCTTCAGCCAACCCGTGTGTATGGAAATGAACTTTAACCCAGTGCACTGAGTCCTCACTGTATCTCATTGCAGATTTGGGCTCGACAGAGCATCGCTGGGCACTCTGCTCATTGAAAATGCCCTACACCATGGGCGCAACTACCTCTTCTCTAACTCCAAGACGTATTTCAACATAGCAGTGGATGAGAAGGGGCTCTGGATTATCTATGCCTCGAGCACTGATGAAAACATAATGGTAGCACATATTGATGAAGAAACGTTTTCAGTCATTCAGCACATCAACACCACATATCCAAAGTCCAAGGCTGGTAATGCATTCATAGCATGTGGTATTATTTATGTTACTGACACTAAGGACATGACAGTAAGTTTTGCTTTTGATTTACTGAAAGGGAAGCAGGTTGATGCAAGGTTTGAATTACGGTCTTCACAGTCTGTTCTTGCTATGCTTTCGTACAGCCTACGAGACAAGAATTTGTACACGTGGGAGAACGGGAGCTTAATGGTGTACCCTGTACATTTTGGTAGATGAAAATATTTTAACATGCCATGTATGGGAGCCATGCTTGTCTAAATAATCTATTTAAAGCTCTGTGACATACACACGTGGGTCTCTTCACTTGGCATCATTTTCTGTTTACTGATGGTGGTTTGTGAGTGTGTCTAAAAGCGAGATCAGGTGCCTTTGTATAAAACACACTTCAGTTACACGGGCCATCCTCATCTTTTTAAAAAACAGTTGTTCACTATTGCAGCTGGCAAACAGTTAGCACAAACTTGCTTTTGTTTCTCTCCGTTATTCAGCTCATAATTGTATCTAATGTACATCGATTATTCCACGGTCATGTGCTCAGCAGAGACTATTTATAACTTTCAGTTGTGATCATCTTCTCTGCAATCATTTTCTAGTCAGTGATTATGGTCTAGTATAAATATCTAAATAATGAACTTTTGTGTACAAATACCTTTGTCACTTTCATTTAATTTCCATGGATTCTCAGTGAAGATTTTTTTCTGAACAGAGGCTTACAGCTGTTAAAAATAAGGGGGATGGAAAGAGTTATTTAAATAGAAAAAAAAGCTGAAAAGCTTCCCCTTTGATGAGCTCAATCAACTGTTAATAATCAAAAGCAAAATCCAGCCAAAGTACAAGGAAAATAGGAATAATGACATGAAGTACTGAATATACATTTTGTTTCATAAATGAAGAATTGGCAGAAAAGTACCAAGGTTTAAAATTGAAGAGAAGATGTAACATTTATGATTAAATTTTCATTTTTAACAGTGTTTGCATTTTGAATGTTGCTGCAGCCTCTTCCTTGCCCCTCACTGTCATGTAAACCATACCATCATAACTTGTTTATAATTGCATTTAATTATAGTAAGGCATATTTCTAAAATAAAATGTCCCCACATTCATCCATACAAATGAAATCATAAAATGAAGGGTATATGTTTTTGCTGCTATTCTTAGAAAAATAAAGTAGCTTAAGCAGGAATACATGTATTCATTATACTGCTTAATGGCTTAATTTGTTGTTAACCTTAAGTCAGAGACCACATATTCACACTGAAATTTTTGAGAGCTAGAGCTGAGAAATAATAGGAACTTTTTAATTTTGTTCTGGTATTTCAGGTTTCTAAATTCAACATTGGGACATAAATCTCTACTGTTGTTTTGTGTATCTATATTCAAAATCGTGCTCTTGGGAAAACCCCTACTTGAATTTCTAAGCTGTCTGTGCATATTGCTAAAGTTTATGGAGCTCATCCAAATATTTAGAAGCAAAGTGTCATTTAAATCCTGAACTGCACTGAAGTGTTTAATACCTGTGTGACATCCAGGCACTGTCAAAGGGATTAATGAATTTGGGAATGTCTGTGCCCGCAGAACCTTGTCTAGCTGAAAAAATTCCTCTGCTGCAGCTAAACTTCAGTGTGTGATACAGTGATGGTTGGGTCTCTTCTCAGCATACCTGCTGTTTTCACTAAGGCCTTGCAGACAAAGAAGAGAGAGATGCAGACAAAACAAAAAATCATAATTAATACTTTGAACTAGTATATGCACAAAACCTCATAGATTAACAGTTCTATTTATACCTGTATAAAGAATGTGACACTTCACACACTCCAGAGCTACAGTTCTATGGGCTGCTTTTGACTTCTGTGGGGTGTGGGGTTTTTTGGTAGTTTTTTCATGTTTATGTTTGTTTGTGGTGTTGTTTTAAAAACTGAGTTGTGGTACTAATAAAGTAAGCTTTTTTGGCTAACCCCTCCTCTAAAAGTCAGCAATACACTTGGGCAAACACAGTTCTAGATAGTGTACATATCTTAAAACATGGTAAACTTCTGCATGACATTGTTGATCAACCTCTTGGAGGAGGAAGGCCAGGAAATTCTGCCTCTTTTCTCAGTGACAGGACCAGCCTGTGCTTCTTGCAGCTATGGAACTAAATCCCGTTAACCTTATGCTTTTCTAGAACGGCTGAAAATAAAAGTTTTTAGCTCAGTACAGTTTGAGGTCAAGGTAAAGCTAGCTTAGGCAGCATCCAGTCAATCTACTGGAGATTTAGATAAATCTGTTTAAATATAAGCAAGAGTTCTGGAATGGGCTGTTCCATGAAATAAAAGTAATTTATTTAACTTACAAAGGCAAAACTAAACAATGACACTTACTCTTCTTTCTTCTCATAATTCTCATACTTCATAGGCTGCAATTTAAAATCACCTTTGGAGAAAGGTGCTTTTTATTCTAGAATATCTTACAATACAGCACAGACATCAAAATTTTCATTGGAGGAATAAGACAGTTTGTTAACATTTAAATACGCAGACATCCGTTCCAGTCATTGAAGAACATGGGTTTTGTTTACAACAGAAAAATACATCTGACAACAGTAGCTAGTTATATTACAAGCAAACAATATTGAACTCTGCATAGTTTATACAATATACTCTGGTAATAATTTAATTACCAGTTTTATCCACTATTTACTAGCTGGCCACATAAAGCCTGACATTCATCTGAAATGTGGCATTATATGTTCCATTGGTATTCTCTTAACAGCTTCATTTAATGAAGTATTTTCTGGACAAATGACTTCAAAAACTAAAAGCTGACTAGAATGATGGATGTCTTCACTACAAACATTTAGTGCTTACGATACATTCCTAAAGTAAAGGCAGGTGTCCAATAGAAAACATAGCTCTCAGAAAGAAAGGAAAATAGTGTGCAAAATTAAAAACCATCGCATTTAAAAATATGCTGATGTGCAAGTTACAGTATCAACTGTGCAATAATACTAACTGGAAAAAAAAATCTCAGCATAAAATGATACATCTCTCACAGTACGTCCTTGATTGCACATGTTCCACGGCATTTGCATCCATTACACTTTCTGGCGAAAATCAAATACACTGAGTACCCTTAATTAAAACTAAACTATTTTACAATGAGAAGTTGTACACATGCTTCAATTAGTGAGAAAAACTGGAATAAAAGTAATCAGAATCATGTCAGAAATGCTCACTGACTTGTAGAGACACAGTGCTTGTTAAGTGACTGACAACTGTCAGAATCTTTGCAAGACACTTACTAAATGCAGCTTGTGGGTTACTGAAGTATAACCCCTCTCTGTCCAACTGTACTGAGTTGAATTCTTTGCTTGCACAATATAGTACATGCATTTCCACCCCACAGATCCTTATGGGCATATTCAAAATACACCCATTGTAAAAGCATTGGTTTTCTGTTTTTTTTTGTTTTTTTTTTTTTTAAATATCTTTTCCCCCACAATACTTAAATGCTGCAGTAACTGCTTTGAAAGGAAACACGTTTTCTTTCCACAGTGCATATCACTGTGTTTTTAGCTACTTAAAGGGACATTATATAAAACCAGGATTAGCTCACATAACTCTACAGAATGTCAAAAATGCCTGAAGGTACATTGAAAGCATTGGGAAGAACCCTCATTTTCAGAGTGCCATCTGCTCCACAGGAGAAGATTCGGTTGCCTTGCACAGTTTCAATCTGGGTGACACCAGCACCAATGTTTCTGAAAAGGGACTGCTTTGCGTGTTCATTTTTAAACGAGTGAATTAAATTGTAGCCAGTCAGTCTCCACACCTGTATCAAGAGAATGACAAAAGGAGATGAAAATTCAAGGATTTGTATTTTTCCCCCTTAATGTTTCAGATTCCTGGTTGTTCTAAACGCTATTCAGCAAAGATAAAGGATATTTATTGTTGTCTAGTAGCAACAATCACTACAAGTCCAAGACTCTTGGGAGGCTCTTGATGCAGTGTAAGGCTACCTTAGCATGGACCAGCTGGTCACTGGGCAGGGTGAAGCTGCCCTGTGGCACCTGATCAGAGTCCTACTCCCAGCTTCCCCCCATGAAAGCTGCAGAAATAAGGTTGCATTTTCATCCAAGATGTCTATGGACAGCTTTCCAGCTGCTGGAAGTGCTTTCCTGCTAAGGAATGCTGCAGGGAGTAAGCTTCACAATTATTAAGCATGCAGAGTCATAGGAAGCATGGCTGTGTGTTGTATCCTAAGCAGGAGCCCTCATCAAGGCCAGGCCACAATCTGTGCAGAGGCACAGAAAGCACCTACTAAACACTTTGCAGCCCAGCTAAGAGGAAAGAAATCTTTTTCTCCTTCTCTTTATCATGTTCTTGTATTTCCTTCCTTTAGTATTCATGAAGAGCCCTTTAAAACAGGGACTGTATTTCTGGTTTGGTTTTTTTGTTTTGATGTTGATGTTTGTTTCTTACTACTCTGACATCTTAGTAGTTGTCTGGGGCATCAAGAGAAAAAATACAACTTGGTGTTACAGAAACTTTACACAATGTTGAAGCTGCTGAGCGCCCCCTGTGTTACAAAGAATTGTCCAAAGGCAAAACAAGAACATTTTTAAGAGAGAGGGAAAAACAAACCTAAGATTTCAGAACCATGCACTTTGTTTATCCACTTAAAATTCAGTCTCACAACTTTAAAAAGACTAATATTTAGAGGAGGACAAAACCTACTTGCTTTAGAAGGCTACTAGTATATTTAAGTTTATATTATAAATGCAAGGCAAGCATCCTGTATATCAAGTGTAGGGTTGGGTTTTTTGGGTTTGTTTTTGTTTTGTTACTGCATTTATCTGGCTATTTGCAACATGCTGATCAACATATACACTACTGCAGCTCAACCCTCTCCTATAGAACCCAGCTTCTCCCATCCCTTACCTTCATGTTGCCTTCTGCTGAGCCTGTGACAAAATAGTCCTCAGAAGGATCCAGGGCAAGGGCCTTAACAGCTGACTCGTGGGCTTGGAAGGTAAAAAGGATTTGCCTCTGCCTGATGTCAAAGATGCAGATATATCCCTTCCTACCTCCAGAAATTAGCAGTTGATGCTTGGGTGCATACTGAAGTACTGTGGCACCGTGGTCATGACAAGTGAAGGCTGAAGAAGAAGGATGTCAGAATTTAATAGACTTGAAACTGTAAGTAGCTTTCACACTTAAGAAGCATTTCTTCTATAAATTATTATCTGAATATTTTTTAATTTTACAGATACATTCCTTCATATAGGTACTGCCTTATCAGCTGACATAAGAGCTGTCTAGACCTAATGCACAAGAAAATATGATATGCAGTCTAATTTATTTTAGAATACAGATACACAGCTGAACTTATAATTTGAGATATATTAATTAAGTGCCAGTTTAAGTGAAAGCATAAGAGTTTGATAATGCAACCTTAATCAGTCTGCTGTTAGGTTTTGTTTTCAGGACTGTACTGAGATATTTTAGACTTTATTAATACTGTCATAAAAGGAGTTTTATGTATGACCTTATGGACTCTCCCATCTCTGGAAGTGTTCAAGGCCAGGATGGATTGGGTGCTTAGTAACCTGGTCTAGTGGAAAGTGTCCCTGCTCATGGCAGGGGGGCTGGAAAGGGATGATTTTTAAGGTCCTTTCCAAGCCAAACCTTTGCATGATTCTATGACCTATGACTTTTCTATAGAGAGGAGATTAACATCATGCTAGAGAATGTATAGTACCAGTTCTGGTTCATGCTTCCCTATGCAATACATACTTAGACCTGTTCCCCAGTAAAGGTTTTTTCCTTTGCACTAAATACATTCACAAGCTGTATTTCCTTAGTCAGTAAGAAGCAGAGGTTTAATTTTCACTACAGTACTCACCATGTATAAGACTGTTACCAGATGAAACCAAAGTGTCCCAGAGGCACACATTTCTGAGGGGGAGAAAAGAAAGTCATTATGGCCTGTTACTAAGTGATTCATGGGGTGACATGACTCAGAAAAGGTTCACATTTTATGTCAGTCTAGAAAGTAAAACTGAACAAGCAGTTCTTGACACTCTGCAGTCACTGTAGAACATATGCAAAGAACTAAGAACTTTTAATTCCTTTCTCTGTTCTTTTATGCTTTTTAGTGGAACTATATGTTCTACCTTTAAGATGTGTACCAACCCCAGGTTGTACCAAGACATTATAGAAGTTTTTCTTTTTGAACAAAAAGAATTGTCCTCTTCACTGAATATATCTGTCCCTCCAGCAACGGCATCACATCACACTGCATTTGGAATACAACTTGAAAAAACCGATTAACTATTGACCCCTCCTCACAAAAATTAATTTTGGGAAGCAAGTAACTGAAAGAATGATGTTCAAAGAAATCATCTAGCAAGTTCAAGCTGTAACAAAGCTTAGAACACTGAGCCTTAGAATGTCAGTCACATGAATGCCCAAGAGCTACCACGTTAATGGAGATGAACAGGTAGTTTTGATGAAATTCCTCATTGTTTCTTTAAACACACCTGTTATCATTGGATTGTCCCGATGTAGCAACTAGGCTTGAGGAGGTTATAAATGCAAAGTCACTTGTGGTTTTACTGTGGCACTGCCAACTCTATTAAAAAACAAAACAAACAAAAAAGGCGCAATCTTACCAGATGTTGTTTGCATCAAAAGTTACTACATGACTCTGATGTCAGTGATAGCAAAACACAAGCAGTCTTTTACACAAAGCTCAAAACTGACAGTTTGAAACTTCAGAGAATGGAACAATGGATTAAAAATCCAGTATAAAATAAAAAGATACTAAAATTAGTGACCTTTAGCAAATCCACAATATAGTGTATGACAACAGCCTGAATTTCAAATTAAGCATGGTTTTCATGGACTGTTAAGAAGTAGTGAAAAGAATTGAAGAGTGTATTTCCACTAAGTTTTGGGATTGTAAAGTCATTAC